ATAGTTGTATATGTAATGTTCTAGAAAGTATTGACTCATGAATGAACTGACTCATTGTATGATATCGCGTTCTAGTAACGGTTCTAGCATCTTCCTAAACTACCCATATGGTAGTTTACTAGCAGTCTAACTGGTACGTATGGTCATGTATGTATACCCTTACTAACTAAGGGCCTGGGATGAACTGGAAAGACCTTTTATGACTATATATGTACACATGATATATAACTAATATTTAAACGACTTTCGGATGAATACCCAATATCCCACCAGACCACATCTCAAGGCGTGAAAAGGAAATAGGGTGGATAGCCTTCCTAAGTCTTTTAAACATTTCTTATATAACTATACATATAGAGGCATGCAATAATATAAAAGCATAAATAAGTTTTGCAAGACATTTGAAATATAAGTATTATTTTAAGGAAAGATCGACTTGATGTCAATCTATAAAACAATTTGAAGGCATAAGTCTAATAAAACAGTTTAAGTATAAGGAAACATTTGTTTGAAGCACAGTTGTAACTAAGTTTGAAAGGTAATGTACGAAGTAAGCTGTACAGTGTAAAAAAAAGAGTTTAAAACATATAAAATGTTTGTAAAAAGTTATTTGAAGGAAACTGTTTGGTAAGACGGCTAATGAGTAGCCAATCTTTTGAATGTTGTATATTAATCACATGTGATTGATGTAGTAACTAGCGTAATTCTACTTATTAATCGCATGCGATTGATATAATCCTAGCATGATTCTACTTGTATTCCCCCCCCCCATGAAACATTTAAAAGTAGTTTAAAACATTAATTAAGGGGTATGAACTCACTTGGAAGTTTGAAGATAGCGAGATGGAAAACCAGGCAGAGTTTCGTCTCGGGAAACGGATTTTTCTCGGGATTCTCGGGAATCTCGGGAGTAAAATTGACCCTCGGGACTTGAGCAAAAAGACCAGAGCTTCGGGTTTGAACGGGCACGGAAATCGAGGCAAGATCGTAAGAGAAAGAGAGGAAATGAGCAAATTTTTCGGAAAGGCTCGCATCCCTTTTATAGGGGGCTGAACTGCCTCCGTACGCGGGGCGTACGGGCGTACGCAGCGCGTACCCGTGCGTCATCGCTTACGCACTTCGGACGGGACGGGTCGGATGGGACGGGTCGGTAGCTTCGCATAGGGCGACGTGGACGATCCGAGGCCCTTCATTCGAGTACGCGAGGCGTACGAGAGTACGCGGCGCGTACATCGACCCTATCCGCTGACTCCCCTTCGGATATTACCAAGAATAAATAATTATTTTTATATTTATTTTAATTAAACTTCTAAAATTCATATCTCCTTCATACGAACTCCGTTTTCGACGTTCTTTATATCCCCGCGAAGGTGAGACTACGATCTACAACTTTCGTTTAGATTCCGTTGGCAAATTCCGAAATTATTTTTATTATTTATTTATTAAAATGACGTGATTAAGGAATTTCTTTAAAAATTCATAACTTCTTTATCTGACGTTGGTTTTTGCCAGACTTTTTACCGCTGAAATACCATTGACGAGACCTTCAATTCTTGTTTAGGTCATTTCGGCCAAAAGTCACTCGATCTCCGATTCGAGTTTTTAGTTGTCTACTGTTATATTTGTAACTTAGAAAAATCACAACTTCCTCATACGAAGTCAGATTTGGACGTTCTTTTTATGTACGTTTACGGTTTGATGACATCTAAAAATTTCATTTAGATGTCTAAGGCCAAAAACTATTGTATTGAAACTTCGCGTTTTACGTCTATCAGTACTGCCGGTTTTTGCCGAGAATCTTCGGTTGGTCATAACTTCTTCGTTATAACTCGGATTTTAGTGTTCTTTATATGCTTGGAAACCTTGATACGATTCCTACTACTTTATTTAACCCAAATAAGATTTTAGGAACGTTATATTTTGACCCAAATTTGATTGGTTTTACATTACATTGTCTCGAAATATCGGGTTGTCACACGTTCTAAATTTTTGAAAGGTGGTGGTGGTGTCAGTGTTCTAATTTTCCATCATGTTTGGTGGTGTCAACGTTCTGATTCTTCCAATAGGTAGTGGTTATGTTGTTGGGAGGAGATAAACGGATGAAGAAGGAAAATATGTTAAAGAAATGGTGGGTGTGGTAGGATAATAAGAGTGATGTAAGATTTTTATTTTTGATTTTCTTATAAATACATAAATGAAAAAAAGAAAAATGAAAAGATAAAAATAAGGGTATAATTGTCATTTTAAGGATTTTCAAAAAACTTTGACCAAAACCTCAATAAAGATTTCAATTTGGATTAGTGATGTTAGTCTAAAACTTTTTGGACCAAAGTAATAATTTCCGGCTAAACATGCAGACCATTTTTGCAATTTAGTCTTTTTTTTAATGATATTTTACGGTCCAATTGAGTATTTCAGTATTTCTCAGTATCTTTCTATTCCCATTTAGAAATCGACAATAGAAATAGGTGTTAGAGTGTATATATATATATTTTTTTTGTTAATTAAATTAATTAATATTTCACAAATGAGCATTTTACGAGAAGAAAATTGTTGTTTTGAGCATTTTTTTAGTTTCCTTCTTATTTTGTAGTCCTAATTTATAATGAGGTTCGAAATTGAGAAATGCTCAAAAGGATGTTGTTTTGATCGGTCTTAGGCATGTTCGGCACAAAGCGTTTAGTAGCGTTTGAGAGCTTCTAGCTTAGAAGCGTTTGACAAAACACTCAATTTTGAACAAAAAGTCTTGTTTGACACTACAAGCTTCTAGCGTTTAGTTTAAATAAAACGCTTCAAATCCAAAAGCTATTTCATGTAGCGTTTAAATATCGAAAGCTCCACTAAGAAATTGGTTCATACCAAGAAAAGACTCAAAATGACGTTTTTAAGCATTTTTTTTGCTCGGACCCTATTTCTTGTGGGGCTACGAAGATGGTATTACAAATTACAGTTTATTTTGAAAAACCGTAGAAAATTGGTCCACACCGAAAAAAGTTTACTATTTATTTTTTTGGAAAAACCATAGAAAACAAAGTTGTTTAAAAAAAATAAATCAAAAATAACATTACCTCAAAATAAATTTAATTTGTTTAGTTGTACAACAAATCAAATCGATTGTATTAACGAAGCAATGAGACATTTTTAACTAATGTTTTTCTTCTTTTTCCTTTTTCTAATGCGTTTTTTCCGGTCTATAAATACGGTCAGAGAGCGTATTAGGTATTTGCGTCATTACTCACTTCCTTTTTCGATCAAGTTCGCTGTCCCACTTCCAAACCCTAGCTGATCCATCTCTCTCATACTTCGCTACGAATTAAATATCAGACAAGAGGTTTGATCTCTATTTCGTTAAGTTATTCAATTCATCACAGGAAAGTTTTATAATTCAACTCGATCTGCTCTTATTTTCAGAATTTTCTCTGAATTTCTTCCACTGGATTAGCTTTTTTAGGGTTTGATCCGAGTAGCTTGAAGCAACTAAATTGAACACGAGGTATGTAATAGTTTTATCATTTGCGTCTGAGCGTGATATGTGATGAACATGTGCCCTTTTTTTATCGTCATGTATGTTTTTATAAATATTATACTGGTAAAGAGGCATATTTCAATATTATAGCCTCAAAGGTTAAAGAGTGCTGGTGGTATGTGGTATAGATACCAAAATTAGTTACTAGACAAATTAGGTATAGATCATTCTGTATTTGTTTCTATAAAATTGTTCTTCATTTCACTCTTTAATATGTCATTCATTCTTTACCTAGGTTAACCGAATTAAAAACGGAAAGTACAAACTTCATCTGATTTTTTACTAAAAGAACTTACTTTTCCGATGGAATTACTCTGTTTTTCCGTTTCCTATTGTCTTTGATGATACCTATTTTTGTTGATGGGATTACTCTGTTTAAAGGGTGAAAGTACAGTGGTGTCTTTTGTTGATCATGCCATTGTAACAAGGAGAGCTTAGTATAGCGAACATCACAGTTTTAGAGCATTTATACAAGCATGAGTTTTTCCATTGTTATTCTTTGTCGGAATTGCTTCTAAGCTGTTGCTTCTTTTTCTATTTTGTGTCAGCTCTCATTTTAAGTAGGTAAGGTTTTGGTTTTAAGGTACATAAACTAAAAAAATTATTGAAGTCACCTTGCATTTGATTTCAATTTGATGCTTTTTAGTTTTTTGTGGTTAGATCTTCATATTTGATAGGGATTCTTGATCTTTGATTTCATAAAGTGACTTTTTGTTGATCAATACACTTTTTTTTTCATAAATGTAACTTTAAGATCGCTACTCAATACTCTCACTAAATGAAAGCTTTCTTTATAAAAAATTTTTTCTAAGTTTTAGCAACCTTCAAATCTTAATATTTCTCAAAGGGAGATTACCAAAGTTATACTAGCTTTATTCTATCCACCATGACTGTTCATTTCAAAGATGGAAAAACAAAAAAAAATGAATTTCAGGTGTGTATATTTGGGGTTTCCTGTTTTTGATTTTACACCTCTTAATTTCTTCATCATAAATATATCATGCTTACCTACAATTATTGATTTTTTTGTAACAATTCGATCATACTAAGCCCTAAAGGTTGATTATATTTATACCTTGACTTCCACATTCTATAAGAGGCAAATTTTGTCCAACATTTATAACATTATATTGAAACATTAAAGGAAAAAAAACCCATTGGGCCCAATTGAGTAAATTATTATCTGTATAACTGATGTTTAAAAGCTCTTTTAAAAAATGTCGCCACAGTTGGGGAAATTGAAGGAATAAACAACAAGGGCAAATTTGTAAAAAGTTGCGTAAAGATGTAAAGTTACTTTCTTTTAATAAATTACCATAAACATCAATCTGTTCTTACACTCATATATCATTCCTTTTCCAAATATTCTTTTAGTATCCATACAATCCCATTCTTCTAATCAATCAAAATTACTTTTCTACCCCATTCTTCTAACCAATGAAAATTACTTTTCTACCCTCAAGGTATTCCGAAAATGGATCAACAAGGCCACGGGCAGGCCCAAGGGATGAACACAGTGAACACCTCTGCCCAAATGCCCTACACCATGCCCCCATACCCACCTCCAAACCAAATGATGGGCATTGTCCCCCCTGCCCCCGGGCAGCCCTCCCAAACCTCGGGTCTCCCTTCCCCCCCTGCCCAACTTGCCCAACAACAACTCGCCTACCAACACATCCACCAACAACAACAACAACAACTCCACCAACAACTCCAAAACTTTTGGACAAATCAATACCAAGAAATCGAACAAACAACCGATTTCAAAAACCACTCTCTTCCTTTAGCCCGAATCAAGAAAATCATGAAAGCAGATGAAGATGTTCGCATGATATCTGCAGAAGCACCTGTGATTTTTGCACGTGCTTGTGAGATGTTCATTCTTGAGTTGACTTTAAGGTCATGGAATCATACTGAAGAGAATAAAAGGAGGACACTTCAGAAGAATGATATTGCTGCTGCTATTACACGAACTGATATTTTTGATTTTTTGGTTGATATTGTTCCACGTGAGGATTTGAAAGATGAGGTGATTGCTTCCACGATTCCTAGAGGTGGGCCACTTCCGGTTGGGGGGCCCACTGAGGGTCTACCGTATTACTATATGCCGCCACCACAGGTTGGTGGTTCAGGGATGTATATGGGGAAGCCGGTGGATCCTCAGGCGATGTATGGACAGCAGCCTAGGCCTTATATGGCTCAGCCTATGTGGCCTCAACAGCAACAACAGGAGCCTCCAGAAGATGCTTGAATTGAACACAGGTATTGGATCACATCATAAATTCATAATACCAATGTACTTTTGTTTATTTGTATTTGAAATTTTGAATATATTTTAATTTGAAAGTTTTACAAAATTAGAATACAAGCACTTTTCACTTTTCATTTCACTGCTATAATTCGTTAGAATATTTAAAGCGTATTATCTTGATAAGAAAAAAGTGATTAGTAAAAAAAAAAGTTTGAAGTATAGTTTTGTTATAGAAGTTACAAAAATGGTCCCTGCCTAATAGAAAATTTACAGATTATGTGGGGTAATAGTAATATCACTCTAGTTATTTCTATTACAAAACGATACATGGACTGTTTCTGTAAAAAAAAAATATGTGTAGGGATCTTTTATGTAAATTACAAGGAATGCTTTTGTAGTTTATTTTCTACAGGGATCAAACCTGGTGATCTGTAAATTTTCTATTAGGCAGGTACCATTTTTGTATTACAAAACTATACATGGACTGTTTCTGCAAAAAACAAATCTGCATAGAGACCTTTTCTGTAAATTATAGGGAATGTTTTTGTAATTTATTTTCTACATCTGTAAGTTTTCTATTAGGCAGGGACCGTTTTTGTGTTTTTGTTAAACACATGGACTTTTTCTATAAATAAAATCTTCATAGGGACTTTTGGTGTAAATTACAGGGAGTAGGGACCATTTTTGTATATTTTTAACACATGGACCTTTTCTGTAAATTACCGGGAGTAGGGACCATTTTCGTATTTTTTTTTAACACTTGAACTGTTTCTATAGATAACATCTGCTCAGGGACTTTTTCTGTAAGTTACAGGGAGTAGGGACCATTTTCGTAATTTCTTAACACATGGACGTTTTCTGTAAATTACAGGGAATAGGACCATTTTTTGTAATTTTCTATATAAGGACCAAACCTGATAATATAAAAAAGTGTTGTGCCTAAAGTTTGAAAGCTTAAAAAAGTAAAAATGTACTATAATATTAATAAAAGTATTAATGAAACAGGCATTAGCTAAACAAGTTACATTGACGATAATGTGTTCAATGCTATCGTTTTGGAATATGATGCTTATTACATGATTAAAGAATATTATTTTGCGTTTACGTATTGCAAATATATAAATGATAAATCTATTGTTTAATTAGCATGTAAATGTGAAAAAAAAAAAAAAGATTTAATGATTTATAATTGTAATTGCAGTGATGAAAGAGACCCTGAAGATGGTGGGTGTAGATGAAGGAAGAAGAGTTGATATCTTATCTGTTAAATTTTCTCATGTGGTAATGGTTATTAGGAAGAATGCAATGGTAATGGTAATGGTTGTAGTAGTAGTAGTCAAAATATAACTTAAGAAACTATGTTATGTGTGCATGTTTGTCTACTTGTCCTTAAATGATACTACTCTTTGTTTTAAGAAGGATTAGGTTGTTGAAATCTCAAAACTCATGGCCATTGCAAGAGGAATGTTGCTTTCTACATTGATGCATGTAAGCTCAATGATTCAAATCTCTTAATGGTTTAAGAGAAGGTAGGGTTTTTTAAACTGTTAATAGGCTTTTGATTTGTTAAGTGATCATTTAGAGGATGTATCGAATGGTTATTGATTTAGAGGGAGCTTTACTTCTGAATGATTCCATCAGGAGGTGTATGGGTGTCTCCTTTGGTAATCAGTTTAGTTTTAAAAAATTTGGTAATAAGACAAAAGTTTATAAGGTTTAATCTAATATTTTAGACGAAAAAAAACCTTTATTTAATTGCACAATGACCAATTTTAATTAAAATTATGTTCGACTATAACTTGAATTAAAAGTGTAAGGAGCTAAAATGATTAAACGCTACAAAATAGGTACAAAAAATTAACCTTAATGAAAATTTCAGCTTTTGTAACCCTTTTTTCTCCATAAAAATAATCAGCACTACTAAGCTCAGGAATCGGAATGGTCCAATTCTTAGCTCTAAAATTCAGATTACTGATTTAGAAAAACCTTAAATGTTTTTTATATTAGAAGAATCTCATTATTTTAAGAAAATTGAATAATATTTTATTTCATTTTAAAAGAAAATAATTTTTTGTTAATCTGATAAAATATTAAATAACCAGGGTTTTTTAGTTAATTTCTTTAGAGACTTTATCAAAAGAATTTCCAAGGTAACTAGACTTTTCTACATAAAAGTCATTGTTTTAATTTTATTAACTATATTATGACCCGCGTAAAACGCGGAGAACATATAAAAATATACATATAAAGGTGTAAAAAAGTTGGCACTATAAAAAAATAAAGTAACAGAAACAGATTTAGTATTATTGATGACATTGAAATGTTCGAAAAAAAAAACAATGAAACACTTGAATATTTATAATCGTTGAAAGATCTCTTTATAGATATAAATTTTTGTTTTATTAGTTGGATGACCCTACTTTCAGTCTTTTTTCACTTGTGACACGAGAAACAAAAAACATATAACTGATAATGAGTGAAGACGAACCTACGCAAGTATAATCCAACATTTGATAATTATTATCATTGACTTTTGTTAATGGCCATAACAAAATAAACAACTATGGGGAATTGTGTGACATCACCAATTTCACGGCCAGAAAAGACCGATTTGTTTATGCTGTATTTTTAAAATCAGAGTAATCATTTAAAGAAAACTGTTGCGGAATTTGTTCCCCAAAACAAAAATATGATAACCATTTATCAAAATATTTCTCAAAGATAATGTATTTTCATTAAATAATAAAACCCCAGGATGTCATGTTCGATACAGACCAAAAGCATAAACAATATAAAATAAACCTTACAACAGTTATTTATAACTACTAATCTATAATCTAAAATCTCTCGTCAAGTCCACCAACTTGTACTTTTGTGTCATTACCTATAATGCAAAGAAAACTGAGTGGGTCAGGCTTGGGAGCCTGGTGAGCATATAGAGTTTTCAACCCACAATAATTAATTTAATTTCATCAACCAATAATAATCCAATTATCCATTCCCGTTATTCTCACCTTACGTCCCTAAGACAACTAACACAAGGGACCTAGTCTAAGAATATTTCATCGGGGCGACAACACATGCTTCGGGGGTTCCTCAGCAATATAAGTCAAATAAGGCAACCATGAGGGGGATGAAATCCAGCGAATGAACACCCAAGTTCATTAACACCTATAGGTTATGAGTCTACTAGCGTTCCACTGGACTGTCTAGAAAAGTCTGTGGTCGTCATCTAAATTCCGCTAGATGACTGATTTACAATGACATCGAGGCCTCTCATCTGATTATCACACAACTATCTACTCATGCTCTACCCGACATATTAGTCGATAAAAAAATATATATTTTTTTATACATAGTTTAAAACATGTATAGCATTCTCATTCAATACATATTCCAAAACAACAGATGAGACACATACACATAACACGTATTTCATAGAGAATAAATCGTACCTATGAGATAGAAGAAAGTGAATATACATTCACACATATAACACAAAATATACACATAACATGTATTTCGTATAAAATACTTCATAGTTATGCGTTATAAGAAAGTAACCACACACTCACTTGATCAGAAGATGATCAGACAGCACTACGGCTTGTAGAAGTAGTATTCTTCGGTAGATCTGGAAGATCTTCACAAAAATCGGCTTCTCGCGGGCAGAGATTCGGCTCGGGAATCACACTTCTCGGGATCTTCGGGCTTCGGGACTCGCTTCGGGTCTCGGGATGATACCGGGGCTTCGGGGGGTTAAAATAGGGCTTAGAGAGGGTATCGGGAGTGAGAGAGTGTCACACCCCCAAACCGGAACGGCGGAAACGTTCGGGGGTGGATGACTTCATGTGGTAACGTAACAAATGAATACATAGTAAAGAAAGCAATACAACCATCATATATATAAGACAAAATTGCAAAAATGGTCCCTGTGGTATGCAAATTTTTTAGGTTTAGTCCAAACCTCGAGTTTTTTGGATTCATGGTCCTTTTGGAGTGGTTTGTATGTGAAAATAGTCCCTCTGAAAATTGAAATGACTATAATACCCTTGGGGTATTTATTTTTCATTTTTCTTTCATTTTTTTAAATTTATTATTTATTTATTCATTTTAACAATTAAAAAATAACACATGACCCACCTCCCTCCCCCCCCTCTCTCTCTCTCTTTCTCTCTCTCTCTCTCTATCTCTCTCTCTCTCTCTCTCTCTCTCGATACATGGTAATACACTCACACACACCTATTCTCAATCTCTCTAGATTTTTTTGGTTTTTAAATCTAAACACACATTGCTAAGAACAAGTGCTCAAGAACACACAGTGCTCAAGTATAAACACAATGCTCAAAAATCGATTTGTATGTGTATGTTTTCATTTTCAAATCGATATATGTGTGTTTGAATCTGAAATCCACCATCGTCTCTTTCCTCCTCTCTATCTACTCCAATTACTTAACATCCGCCCACCGCCTCAGGTGGATTACGTTCTCAGAGATAACCCTATATGGGAGGTTGCATTAGGGTTTTTGCAAAGAATGTCGTCGGAGAAGGAAGGAGAGGAAGTCGTCGTGGGTGTTATGTGGTGGTTCAATGATGACGATTTTGCTCACGGAGGTTCCATATGCTCCCACTACCCCAACACAAACAACATCGACCCTCCTCTACTGCTGCCATCTTCATTGTGGTCTTCAGCCTCCTCTACTGCTGCCATCTTCAATGTCTAAAAAGCCCCTTCGGTACCCCCTAAGCATCTTCCATTGATAGAGATTTAGATTAAGTGAATGCTGGAAGTGATCGATCTGAAAATTGGGTCTACTTCAGCGGGTTTTGTAAGTTGAATCAAATCGATTCAGCCAACTGGAGGATAACTGTAAACCTATGGTGATTACTTACACACTTTTGATAGAGGCCACAATTTTTAACGGTGGGATTACTGAAGCAATGAATGTGATTTAGGGATTTTTTTATATGAATGTGATTTAGGGATTTTTTGAATGTGATTTAGGAATTTTGATCGAGGTCACGATCTTCAACCCAATATGAATGTGATTTAGGGATTTTTGAAGTGATTTGGCTATGAAGGCGATATGAAGGGATAGGATTCTTGGTTGTAAATGAAGAAGGGTGAGGGGGTGGAGTTTAGAGAGAGAGAGAGAGAGAGAGAGGTGGGCCCTCTTATTTTTTTAATAATTAAAATGAATAAATAATTATTAAATTAGAAAAAAATGAATTTAAAAATGGAAAATAAATACCCCAAGGGTATTATAGTCATTTCACTATTCACAGGGACTAAAAACGCAACGAAACTAGCTCAAAAGGACCACCAATCCAAAAAAGTCGTGGTTTGGACTAAAACCCTAAAAAAATGCATACCACAGGGACCATTTTTGCAGTTTTGTCTATATATAATTGAAAGTTTACATTGTTTAAAAGTGTACATGTTCAAAATGAATTACAATATGATGTCAAAATATGAAATTAAACTGGCGCCACAACGTCCTTTCTCCAAAATCCGTTTGTTACCTGTAATTACTGAACCCTTGGGACATACAAGTAGTTTTGAAAGAGTAGATCAACATTTAAGCTGGTGAGTTTCATAAGTATTTAGTAACAATGTTTGTATGAAATGAAATGTTTTTGTTCCTTGTTTGCTTGTTCCTAGAAAATCCTATATTTTCTACTAGTATAAATGTAGTCTTCTTTCAAAACCAATGTTTGTTTCTAGTAAATGTATGTATGTATAAAATTTCCAATATGGCTGAAAAACCCCGTAAATCATTGTGTTTTTAATACTCTATGTGAGTTTTATAACCATACTATTGACAAGGAATGCCTATACACAACGTTCTTCAGGCGTTGGAATGTTCTGACGTTTGTCACCCCAAATAGTGGACTGTAGCTAACAGTCAGGGCGCGGGTTGTCAAGCCCGTATAGATCTATACAAAAATACCATGCTCCCCCTCCAAGGGATTCTGGTATATAATACAGGACTTGAAATGTGAACTCGAACGTACGTGAAGTTAATGTCTCACAAAACTTAGTATAAAACAGATTTACGTGTGAAAATGTTCGTTCGTTATTGTATATGAAAGTAGCTTCTTGAAATAGTATTTCCATGTATGTAAAAGTTTGTAGTATTCTCGTAAAACTATACCTATTATAGTTTTCTCTGATTCGAGTTTTTAGCCGTCTGCCGTTAAGCCGAACTTGAAAAATTCCTAACTTTCTTATACGAAGTCGGATTTGGGCGTTCTTTTTACGTACGATCACGGTTTAATGACTTGTAACATAATAGGTAATTTAATTAGTGATTTTTGGATATTTTATTTTCGAAGTAAATTTTATTACAACTAACATGGTTACAATACTTGACTTTTTAGGTCGTTTACATGTAGTTGAAATATCGGGTTGTCACATCATCCCCCCGTTAGAGGGAATTTCGTCCCGAAATTTAAGGCAACAAAGATACAAGTGAATCAGAGAAAAAGATGCGGGTACTTTTGTTTCATTTGATCTTCACGTTCCCATGTGAATTCAGGTCCTTGCTTGGCGTTCCAACGGACTTTCACGATGGGTATGCGACTTTGTTTCGTTTGTTTGACCTCTTGGTCCATGATTTCTACCGGTTCTTCCACGAATTTGAGGCTCTCGTTGATCTCGATCTTGTCGAGTGGGATAACAAGAGTCTCATCGGACAGACACTTTTTCAAATTCGATAC